TAGTACTGTTAACTTTGCGCATGTATGGCTGAGTGATTCATACTCGTTTTTTTTTCTTTTTTCTGTTTCATTTGAAAGCCGCGAGGCAGCAAAAAGGAGGATGTTCACATCAGATAACACCAGGCCGAACAAATACGTATGGCACTAAGATTCCAAACGTTTTTTTTATGCAAATGAAAACCTACAGGTATAGCTAAGTGTATGCGCATATAGAAGAACGTAACTGCCGGCGAATGTTTTTAACTATGAGTATTTTGAAGGGGGCTGCTGAACTTGCTCGCGGCGATGTCACCATTTTTTTGTGTGCTTCCCCCGGACGGTAAATTTGTGTTTGCTGCGCTGTGCGCGTTTGCCCCCTCTATGTTGAGTACCCGCTCGGGCTAGCATCGGCATTACGGTGGCAGTTACGCTCTGTGGTCCCCCGTTGTGTGGTCCCCCGTTGTGTGATCCCGCTTTGCGTTGCTGCCCCATCCCACATGGAGTAACTTCTAAGAAAGGACGCCCCAGAAAATGTCTCAAGAAAGCCCGGATGTGTTTTTCAGGGAGGAGCGGAGCGAGCTCCTCGAGGGGAGCCTGAGTGACCACCTCAGCGAGTTCAAGGTGAGGACACAACAGAGCGCGCAACGCATATCACACGGCACATGACACCGTCTACTTCGTCATCTTCGTCCTCTTCTCCCACTTCCTCCACTTCACCCACTTCGCAGAAACGAGAGCACGTGTACCTGGCGTGCATCTCCTCGCTGGAAAAGGAAATATGCCAGACGCACACCTACCTTAACGAATGGAGGAACATGCACTTGTACGAAGACGAGGAGGGGAGGACCCTAAAGGACGACATCATGAACGTGAACTCACTTAGGAATCTGCTAATAGACCCATCCATAAATTTAGAGATCAAAGAATTGAGGCAAAAAATCTACGAAGTAACGAGGAAATGGAATCTCGCAGAGGAAAAGCTACAAGGATTTACTTTTGACGCACAAGCAACGGCAGGACAAAGACTCATAAGTAAGTGTAAAAAATTGCAAGACGAAAATTATGAGCTGGGAAAAACACTGGAAGAGAATACCCTGCAGCCTCTATCCATACAGATAATTAACATGAAAGAGCAAATGCTTTTTTATAAAAATGAATTGAAAATCTTAAAAGAGCTGAATGCAGACATTGATGAAGATAATGAGCTTTTAAGTCAGCAGTTGGGAGAGCTTTCGAAAAAGTATACGGAGATCAGTAAGGAGAAAGCTGAGTTGGAGGAGAAAAATTTCCAGCTGAGGAACCACGTCAGTGCGCTGCAGCACAAGTTGAGGGGGCAAACTCACCCCCACCAGGGCGACAGCCTCGGGGACGTGGATAGGAGCAATTACGGTTGGAGCGGTCACGGTGCGGACAGTCGCCGTGGGGACAGTCGCGGTGGAAGTCCACGCAGCAGGAGCCGTCGCAGTACGAGCAACCATACCTACGGGAAATACACAGCGGAGCGCCGCCACGACACGTACTCCCCCCGCAGCACATCCCCGCGCCACAATAATCGTAGCGGTAGCCACAGAGTTAGCCAAGCGAACTACGAGGACGGCCACCCGGTCGGGGGAGGATACTCCAAGTATAGACAAGACGACAGGCACAGGAACTTCCATCACGATGAAGAGGAGGGTGTGTTCAGGGAGGGCTACAAAAGAAGTGACTCTCACTTGAGAGAACGAAAAAGCAACCCCGACGATGACCCCCGTACGTACTATAATGGCGACACGTACAGGAAGAGGAGTTCCGAGGAAAGCAGGGAAAGGAAGTATAGGAAACTGGACCGGCACCACCACAGGGATGGGAAGGCGGACAGGGAAAGGGGGAAGGAAAAAGAGAAGGAAAAGGAAAGGGAGAGGGAGAAGGAAAAAGAGAGGGAGCGGGAAAAGGAAAGGGAACGGGAAAAGCACAAAGTGAAGGATAGGCAGAGGAGCCGGAGGGACCGGGATAGGGATAGGGAAAGAGAACGAGATAAGGACAGAGACCGAGATAAGCATAGAGATCGAGATAAGGATAGAGAACGTGACCGTGAGCGGGACAAGGCCAAAGATAGGACCAAAACGAAAGAACGCGAAAAGGCGAAAAACAAGCATAGAAGCAAAAATAAGGAAAAGGAAAAGGGAAAGGGGAAGGGAAAGGAAGACGAAAACTACGACAGCAGCAACTACTCAGAACCGAAGAGAAGATCTACCAAGGATCATGGTGATGACCGTCGGGACAGTTCCAGGGTGGAGAAATTCGACCACTCCAACGCGTCTTATAATGGGGAAGCCGACGACAAGGCGAGCGAATTTGACCGCTACGTCTACCTGCACAAGTGAAAGGGTTGCCTTTCCGAAAGGATGTTTCCTTTTAGTTTGGCAGCCTGTGCCGTCCTAGCGATTTTAGTGATCCTACCGACCCTTTAAGTACTCTTTTGAATCCACTTGTTTATCCCCCCTCCGATTCTGTCCCGCAGT